GCTTCACAGAGTGAATGGGTTAAATGCAGAGGGGAATTTCCCCATGGGGATCAGTAAAGTATACAAAAAAAATAAAATAAATAAAACTCCACGCAAACATAAGAGACAGCTCGCAATCAAATTTGCATAATATTTCTCTGACTTGTAGTAGTACATCTGTTGAGAGTATTGCGGTGCTTTTGCCTAGTTATGAAGAGACTCGGAAAACTTCAGGCAAACAATATCATCCAAACCAGGTCATATGGTTGGTGGGTTTACTTTGGTAGAATATTAAGAAACTCTTATGAGTTTCCTATAGGTACCAAAATAAGCTAGAAAGAAAGCGATTTAGCGGTAAATCTGACTTTTTAAGCCTTCTCCTCCACTCAGCGTGCACATTATTAGACACCCAGGGAGAAAACGAGACATGATTTATCTACTAAGGATGGTAATTAACTTGTATGGTAAAGGTGTGTGATGTTGGAATATGTAAACAACATGAATACATCTCCCATCATCAGATCAAGGGAGGATCAGGGTAACTCGATTTGCTGAATCAATTCAATTCAATTTTATTTACACAGCGCCAAATCACACCAACAGTCGCCTCAAGGCTCGTTATATTGCTACAGTAGAGCGTACGAAAATAGATTCTTAGTAAAACCCAACAAGCATACGTCCCCTCTATGAGCAGCACTTTGGCGACAGTGGGAAGGAAAAACTTCCTTTTAACAGGAAGAAACCTCCAACCAGGCTCAGGGAGGGGCGGGGCCATCTGCTGTGATTGGTTGGGGTGAGAGAAGGAAGACAGGATAAAGACATGCTGTGGAAGAGAGACAGAGGTTAATAACAAGTATGATTCAATGCAGAGAGGTCTGTTAATACATAGTGAGAAGAAACACCCAGTGCATCATGGGAATCCCCCAGCAGCCTACGTCTATTGCAGCATAACTAAGGGGTCATTCAGAAGGCTCTGCCTGCCATTCTACTTTTAAATACTCTAGGAACAACAAGTAGGCCTGCAGAGCGAGAGCGAAGTGCTCTAATAGGGTGATATGGTTCTACAAGGTCATTAAGATAAGATGGGGCCTGATTATTTAAGACCTTGTATGTGAGGAGCAGGATTTTATATTCTGGATTTAACAGGGAGCCAATGAAGAGTCACTAATATTAATACATACATTTTCCATTGATGCTATTGTCTTTTTTTTTGCCTTCAAATGAGCAAAATAATATTTAAGATGGCCAACATGCTCATAAGAGTCTATGCAGTATACTGGAGCGCAGACACACACAGACAGACACAAATCCACACACTGCATCAAAACCCCGAGCTGCTGGTCAGGAGCATCAATTGAGTCTCTGTTCAGTCCCTTTGCCTTCCTCGTCTACACTGCCTTCTTCCACCGCCGACGTCCACACCGCATAATTTGTCATAGGAAAGCACAACTCTCAAAGGAAACAGGCAGCCTTCAAAGCAAGCTTGACTTAATATGTAGTACAGTGCTGTTATCCAGTACTCAATTGTGTATCTCTCACAAGTTTCTCACCTCTAATTGTAAATTCTTAGAGTTCCTTTAGGAAAGTTGATGAATACGAAGGTGTGGCAGGGAGGCTGCTGACTTCTCAAGTAGTAGATTTGTACGATCACTAGGAGACTTTGCAAGCAGAGAGTACCTTGCAATTGGAGGAAGTGCATAAATTGGAGTCACAATGCCATAAAAGGCGTGCCACCAAAGACAAAATCAAAGGCAAAGGAAGTGGCTCCAGATAGGGCTGGGCCATATCATACCGTTCACGGTAACACCGGTATAATGTTGGGCAACGATAAGAAAATGAAATATCGCGATAGAATATGGGTAAAATGTGCAGTGCCTTTGTTTTCATACACACATGGCGGTGACGGAGAATGAGAAGAGTGAAAGCGGATCGTTGAATGAAACGATGAACCTGAACTGGTTTGTAAAAATGCTGCAGCTTCACTGGTGTGGAACTGGTTTAGCTTTCGTCCGTCAGATACACAACAAAGCACTATTTTGGTAGCGCATGCTAGCGGGCCGTCGTTATTACCGTGTTGTTTGTAAAATACGGCGCACTTAAAATCAATCCTTTGATTTTTCTGACAGTCGACAGAGCCCCTTATAATCCCGTGTGCCTTATGTATGAACTCTGGTTGTGTTTACTGACCTCGAAACGATTTTATGTGCACGGCGCTCGAAAATCTGTCAGATGTTTCAGTACGACTTTGCTGAGCTACGAAGCCGCACCGCTTGATGGATTGTCGGAGCATTACGGCTGTCGTAGGCGGAGCCTCGCGGAGTGATACGTGCTGTGCTTCAACATAATGTTACCGTGTTGTGTGTGTATGACCTCTTTTTAAGTTTTGTGGATGTTATACATGGTTATGCTGAGGATATGTCGGCCAGTTTCCACTGGAAATGCCTTTTAGTTAAGCTGTCAGCGAGGAATTTGCACTGATAAATTTTTATATAACTTTAATGCACATAAAAAACAGCTGCTTGTTTAAGTGAAAATGCATTGATGGGGTTTTTTTGCACTAATAAAGTTGTGGAGTTGTAAAGTATTTTGTCTCACGTAATTATATCATCAGTTATATCGTTATCGCAAATTTTCAAATGTATATCGTGATAAATATTTTTGGCCATAGCGCCCTGCTCTAGCTCCAGACGACCTCAAAGCAACCTTGAGTAAGATACTACATTAGTGTTTTGCTCGAGCTATCGATCCCCCCAATAATTCTGCATAATGGGGAAAAAATCTAAAGTTTAGTAGCGCTGCATGAATATAAAGCAGCAGGTTACTGACGAAGAACTGAGCCGACTGTATAACTAAACAAGATGCTTGCATTCCCAGCACAACTGCAAGAAATGACAGAAGCATTCAGGAAAACCAAAAACGCAGACGGAAGATCAGGCGGCATCGAGGGGCCGATGCTTTTAGGCCTCCTCCACAAACTCAGCTGCGGGTCAGAAGCCTGGCAAGAACCCAAACATATAAAGCGAGAGGTGAGGAGTAAAGAATGAAGGAATTCAAAGGAGACAGTTTGCCTTGTTTCCCAAAGAGATGCAAAGGCACGCCAGTGATCACAGACAGCCTCCAACGTTAAGTGACTCTGAATAGAAGCGAGGCAACGGCGAGAGAACGGCACAACAAGATCACTGGACCAGAGCGGGGCGAGCGGTGCTGGCAGTACCGCGGCATTGTTGCGGGAGCCGAGGAGGAGGCCGTCGCGGCCCGAGCCGACCACGAGCCACGTGCTCCTCGTCGAGGCCCGCGTGAATTATTACATTTCAGTCTGTTATATTTCATCACGGCTCATTACAGACAGACAATCGAACTCGAAGAGGAGCGCCGTACTCGGGGTCCGCCCAGATGCCCTCGGAAAGAGAGAGAGAGCGAGAGAGAGTAAGAGAGAAAGAGGGAGAATCCCTGCACTCTCCCCTGAAAAGGATAGAGGAGGATGGACAAAAACACATTGTCTGTGGATTTAAAAAGGAGGCTTATGGCTGCTATGAAAAAGCAATGTGCTTTTAGAAATGGAGGAGAATGAATATGCCTGCTGATGCCCACTCAATGAGATGTACGCTGGTGGAGCCATAGAAAAGAAGTGAGAATTGAAAGGGATGGAATCTGAGGCAAATGACACTTGAGTGTTTGGAAATAACTGACAGCTGCACAATGGGACAGCAAAACAGACTGCAATCTGCTCATAGCTAGATGAAAAGACAGGGAGCTGAAAAGAAGTGTGACCAAATACATACAGAGATACTGTCCATTCACAGCTGAGTGGATAAACAGACAGCCGTGAAAATGGGCGAGAAAGGTGAGGTTTAACTACAATAGATGACCCGAACAATGAGATAGCTCCAAAGGCTCCGTGAAACAATTAGGCAAGTATACGAGCGATACGAGAAGTGCTCGCTTTAGGCCGCGACAGTTTTTATTTACCACATTCAGTCTCTACACGTTTAAGCAGAGACCGAACGCTGAGCGTTTAGGAGAAACTTTTCATGTCGTTAGACCGAAGCGCAGCCGATCACAAACCTGACGACGTATCCCTGCGCGAATATGTACAATCACTGTGTCTCTCCTGACGAGGCTTTAATGTGCACATGCAGGCTCGTCTTCTTAATCTGTGTGTGTGTGCAGAGAGAGAGAGCGGGAGAGGGGTATTAAAACACACTCCTCTTGTCACTTGCTGTTCGCTGCATAACACAGACATTTTCCATTCTGTCAGTGCAAGCAGCGAGCACACTGGCTCCTTCTAAACTCAGCCGCCACTTCATTAAATGACTTCAGACTCTTGGCAGAGTCAGTGGGAAAAGTCTATATTAACTGTGTGTGAGATCCACGGGGTGACCAACAAAGGCCATAGTTGTTCCTCTGTGTTGGGTGCTGCTTGGGGAACTTCTGGGGCCTATTAGGGTACCCCCTCCACTACCCCAATGTGTCTACCACATGCTCCTGTTTCTCCTTATCCTCACTCTTGACTTCATACACCATGCATACATGCACAGACACAAGGATGCACAAAGCTTTGCTGACCTCTGCCCAACTTTTCTGTAGTTGGTCCCAGAATTAGTAGAACTAGACACAGCATGAAGGGGACTGCGACTGTTTAGACTGGAGAACGCGGTGAGGCGCAGGCTCTGGTTCCTGCTTTCGCAGCCCAACATGACGACCGGCATCTGATGGTACCTAATGGCCGGGCGGTACTGTTGCTCAACCAGGTGAATGTGCTGGATCATTTGGGAGCAGACGGGCGGAACTGTCAGTGACACCAACAACAGCACTCGGAAACCGCATCTGTTGTAATGCAAAATCTGGCGAAAGACTTTATCTGTAAAAATCCCAAATTTTTAGCATTCAAACAAATGTTTCTCATTAAATCCTTTGTCATAACAGCTTATTCAGCCCAGACTGCGGAGCCTGGGTTGAGCTGACATTGAGCAACAAATACAGTCGTAACTCTATTAAAGTAACAGCAAACAATCCTTTTCTATAATAATACAGCACAACTGATTGGTAGATTTAGCAGCTCAAGTTTCAAACTCCTGGATGGAATGTAAAGTGTAATATTATCACTGTCTCATTTATGGTTTCACACGTGGAGACAAATCCACAAACAGCTCAGACGTGGGTGATCACATCTATTGCCGATGACACTTAAACAAACACAGGGCCACAAACTCGCACGCACAGAACAAGATCAGCGTCCAACAAACCACCGACTTCACCGACAAAGGCACAGCAGGCAAACAACCGGCAATTAATCAGCTAGATTGATCTGATACGCCAGTTTGTGTAAATTCTGCCGTGACCTTTAACCAATCTGGTGGATTTATTTGTTCTAATTAAGCAGATTAGGGCCACATGCCTTTGCAAATTAAGTCATTTATCTTCATGTGACAAGTTAGGAGGAGGAAAGACCAACTGCCCCCAAGGAGAAAGGGCAATTTCTTCAATACATGAGGTCTGTCAAAAAGGTTCAAATTGGCCCCCCACATAGAAGGACAACACACTGCACAACTGGGTTGTTGTGTTGAGCTCATTTGATATTACAGCATTGCTTTAGATTGTGTTGCCACATTTATAGCAATTCCTATGATAGATTTCTTCATACTTGTTGTTGTTACGTGCATGTAAAGACAACTACAGGCCAAACATACAGCAAGTATCTGTTGTAAAAAGCTGCTCCTTTGTCACAAGGGGTCAGTGTTGCATTGTTGACTGCACAGAGCCCGATGCCCTTCCTGATGTCTCCAGCCATTAAACCAGTGACCTTACCCTTGTCATGGGAATGTGTTAACCACTGCACTATACAGGCACATCTGCTGTACTAAACAAAAGAAAAGCTGATGGACACGTTCCTGTGCAACAACGTCAACGGTTTTTTTAGACACCCATTATTCCCCTCACAGTTTAAAGCTTGGCCAAGAGGTTAAAAATAACCCACAATGTCTAAATCTACAGAGGCCGGAGCCAGGAGGGACCCGAAGGTGGACTGAGCCAAGTAAGAGGCCTCCTCAGCTAGTCCAGCAAAACACTGAAGCCTGGGAACTTCAGCTTGTTTTCCGTACTGTAAGCCCACCTACTGGACCGACCTTGCATGTGCAGCGTCGCGATGAGTGTGCGTCACAGATGTAAGCTGAACATAAAGCGATGCATGCGATCGACACAGCTCTGATTCAAGTTTCCCCGTGAACGCTCACAATCAGCCTGATCCTACAGTTCATACCAGAGTCCATCCTCGTTGTTGCCAGAATTTCACAAAGCACACCTTTGACTGGGAAGTCTTCATCAAGGGAAGTTTTCTTTAAATTAAAATATACCACAGAAATGTTAATACACACATCCACGCAGCCACTAACCTGTAAATGACTCCCATCACCCTGAGCCATCTAACGCATTACACAAGGAGATTCAGAATGAAGGAATAACACGAGGCAACAATATGGCTCAGTTCTTTTCACCGTGGGGGTTTCACCCTGTGTGGAGATATAAAACACTACATCCTTCCTACAGAATATCAGTACTCTGAATAGGCCTCTCTGTCTCTAATCACTTCTCTCTCTCTGTGTCATGCTCTCCATCTTTCTCTTGAACAAGCAGACCCCCCGTCCCCCCTCCACACACACAGAACATTCTCCTCTAATCCACATCCATCCTCTATGCGGAACGTCGTCCAGATTGGTTTCCTTCTAGTCTAAACTTCCAACTTGAGGTCAGGCTTTGGGATCACAGGGCCAACAGAAGGTCATGTAGCTCGACTTCTACAGACGGAGCGAGCTCGTTAGTTATTTGTCTGCCCTCAGTTGCACCTTTTCACATCCCTAACATGCTGAATTCTGTTGTTAATGCTGTGTTAGCCGGCTGCTGCACTCAACATGATGGGACTTTGGATTCACTTTTGGGATCTGTGGCAGTCTTGGTCACCTCCTGGATCCATCCTGGATGGATGCATGGATGGATGGATAATGAAAATTTAAAAAAAATAAAAAATCCAGGAAAGTCCAGGAAGTGAGTGATCAATGTCTATTGTGAGGATTAGTTTAACTAGATAAGATCACTACACATTTATTAATATTTATTACACATTTATTATTGTTTACTTATTTTTTCTGCATCTTAGACTTTATTGATTCTTAATTGATTCTTCGGTTCTTAATGGCTACTTATTTTACTCGTTCGGACTGACTGGCTCACGCTTTGTGTTTTTCATTTTAAAAAAATATTTGATTTCTCAGAGTAACTACAACAACTGAGCCAAGCAAGTATAAAGCACTTCTAGGTGGATATTCCAAACAGTACGCAGCCCTAAACGTGATACAAATGGTTTTCTGTGTGTTTTTTGCAGTTTAAAAACAATAAAATCTCAATTTCAATCCTATAACTTAAGCTGACTGATGCTCTGTCATGTAAAACACTGTCTCAGGGAGTGAGTAGAGATTCTTACAGTGTATTTTTAAAGCACATCAGTATGACTATTCTGCCATCTAGAGGTACAATATAAAAATAGCAGCCGTGATTATGTTGATCCTGGAACAACATTTAGTATGATGATCTGGGAACAACACCAACACGAGGATATCAGATCTGAACGTTCATAAAATGAACTTCACATAACGCTGTGGATCAAAACTGAATGGAGAAAATCTTCACTGCATTTTCTTCACTCTGTATTTAACCCATTAAAGCAGAAGACTGGGAGATATTTCACTCTACAATAGGAATCACATTTGAAAATGTTTGCTTGACATTAGTTAAATATACTAACTATATGTGGTATTTTAAAGTTAAGAACATGTTAATAAGTGTACAATTAAAGGCAGGTTAATTTTTTCATAAATAAAATAACATTACAAAAAACAAAAACCAGCCGTGTAATTGCTAATAATTCAATACATGAAATAATTGCTCAGTATAAAAATAATTGCAGGTGTTGTTAGCGGCGATTTCACATTCTTGAGAAGTACTTGAGGTTAAATAAGTGCTTGAAATCCAACCTTTAAATGTCAGAATAATTGATATTTGTAATTTAGAAAGCTGTTGTGCGCATAACGACGCCCTCTGCGTGCAGCCAGACTGCTGTGAGCTCCTAAACGCACATTACAACTGCACTAAGTAACGGTGTGTCACCTGTATGGAACGCCAGGACTGCCATAATGAATTAATTAAATACACCATTAAATAATTAATTAATTGTGTCAATAATTAATTAAAATTGGAAATAATTAATTACTGACATATTTAATTAATAACACATTTAAATAATTATTGACAGTTTTAATTAATTATTTAATGATTTATTTGTTTAATTCATTTTGGCACTTTTGTCCCCTTCATCTCTCTCCTTGAAATAATTTTATCTGTCAGCCTCACCCATCAAACTAAGTGGGCGGGGTCAAATCTAACATTTGATTGGTTGCCTGCAAAGTAAGTCAAGACAGGTCGATCCTAGATAATCGATTGCTTGTGTGGACTTGGGGCAGCCAGGTATCCCAGAATGAACAGGCAGCAATGGTGGTGGTGTACAGTTAAATGGTAAATGGCCTGTATTTATATAGCACTTTTATTAGTCCCTAAGGACCCCAAAGCGCTTTACACATCCAGTCATCCACCCATTCACGCACCCATTCACACACTGGTGATGGCAGCTACATTGTAGCCACAGCCACCCTGGGGCGCACTGACAGAGGCGAGGCTGCCGGACACTGGCGCCACCGGGCCCTCTGACCACCACCAGTAGGCAACGGGTGAAGTGTCTTGCCCAAGGACACAACGACCGAGACTGTTGTAAAATACCCCGTTTTTTTGTCACCAACTACACTTTTAATAGTGTTTTCGCTGCGAATGTAGTGGCGTAATCTTCACGTCTGGTCAGGTTGTCAACATAGAACATGTTTGCAAAAGTGCTCAGATATTTTCAGAGATTTCACTAGCTCTGCTAACAGTCAGCTGACAGACAGCCCCGGTGTTCCAGCTTAACGGGGGGGTGTTGAGTTAACCGGTTTGTTTACATATTCCACTCTCCGTGTTTCACATGTTGCATTCGCAGATTCTCGTTTTCACCAAACGATCGTCTCTTTCCGCGTGATCTTGTGTCTCTGTGCTTCTGTAACATAAAGAACGAGCTGATGTGTTTCTCAGGACACCAGCGATCAGCTCAACAGGCCCTCAGTTTACCTGCATCCTCCTCCTCACCTGTCAGCTGTTTAACACCTGCTGCTAATTCAAGAAACACGCCCACGTGACCTGCTGATAGTCACAGTTTAACTGTGCTCGATATAACACAATGTCGGCGCATTTTTCTGCACAAGATAAGTAAAAAAAATTTTTCTGAGCGCAGAGCTGCTGGAGCTCGTTTCCCTACAGAGCACTTTATAGGCGAACAGCTTCATCAGCGGCTGATGTCCAATCACCAGCACACAGCTTTGAAACCTCAGCTGAGTTTTAGCTCTCAGTGGTTAAACGCTGGACTTCATTCACTCAGGTTCTGTCTGTCGGTCACGTTTACTTCGCTGTTTTATTTACAACTGAGCAAATCGGTTTGGCTGAGGTTAAAGTTACGTTTCATAACTGCATAGTTTCACAGACGTTTAATGGTTCACTGTGTTAGACTGAACCGTTCACTTTTCTTTATCTGGTGTGTTTTGGATTTAACAGTGAATTTTGAGATTAAACTGACTTTTAAAATGTTTTCATACAAAGAGGAAAGAGAAGGCGCATTTCCACCGAGAGGAGCAGAGTTTGCAACAGCATGTTCATCATGCAGTCTGCAACCTGCACAGAAATATTACATCATCTGTTTTTTAATAGTTATTCAACTGTATTCTAAGCACCAGCTGTCTGTTAGAATTTTTAGAGTTTACTTAACTAAAAATAAATGAGCTTAACATATAATTTGTGATTTTTTTTCTCTTTTTTTCTTTTTCGGTCATGTTATGTTTACCTGTCAAAGGCTTGTTAGAAACTATGAAACACATCGTGCAGACTTCTGGATGTTAGAAGAAAACTAATACTGCTCATGAATGAGACTAAAGACAGGAAGGTGTCCTTTAAAACTAAACATGTTAATAGGACCTCCCTATTTATATCATAGTTTATGATATAGCACGTGTATTTCAGTAATAGCCTGCTGATTTCAGTGTAGTGGTGAACAGTCACACAGCTCCGTGGGCGTTATCTGTGATACTCCTTAACTATCATTTATCCAAGTTAACTTCAGTTAACCATTCAGACAGTTCTGACTGTTCAGTCAGACGGTTCTTTTGCAATGACAAACATAAACACTCATGCTCCCGGTAAGTTTCCTCAGTGGCAGCTGTTTAAATTACAGCTGCCACTGAGGAAACCATGGTAACCACGGACTCTGAGCGGCTGGATCGACGGAGGTCAGACAACAATTTTACATGTATGATCTTAAAACAGGACACAGCCACTATACGTGCTGGCCTCATATCAAATGTGAAGGCAGACTGAGTCTATGTTTGACGTTATTATATCTAATCTTCCTCTCAAACATTTAAACAGCAGCGAGTCTGCAGCTGAGGGAACACAAACTCAAACTGTCCGAACAGGTTTGCTCGTTTCTTGGATTCATTTGGTGATTTATTAAATGTGTAACTGTTATTCTAATCTGCTGCTGGGTCTCTTACACTGATGAAAATGCAGAAAACACAGATCACACCTGTTCAACCAATCACTTTCATTCCACTTTGATCTGCGACAAACTGACGCTTCATCTCTGTTACAGTGTTGCTATATGTTTGTGTTCTTTATGCTGTAGATTTTCACGTCTCTGGAATAGTTGGCAGTAATAAGGATGATTTTCTGTAAAATCATACTGATATGAGCCGTGACATATTCGTAGATGACCGTTAGATAGTCAGCTGGGAAACTCTGTGTTAACTCATGGAGCCGAGGATATCGTGGATATCGTGGACATGCTGACCTCGCTGCGTGGTGTACAGAGCGAGGTCAGCATGATTAATATTCACCATAAAAATATTAGCCGAACATCATGAAGTCTGTATGTGTTTCATAGTGTCGAACAACCTTTGTACAGTTAAAGCCAGCAGTTACTACATGACGGAAACACCAACGTTATCTCTTTTATGCGTTTATACACAGGTCACGCTGATTACTGAACAAAAACCCAAAGATCAGATGTTAAACAGATTTATTTGCTCTCTCGCCTCCTTAAACATGTTTTTAATGTTAGTTATAATTCAGAATTGGCGACTGAAACACGTAGGACACATAAGAACATCAGGAAATAAAACACCGATAAATATAACCTCAGTAAAAGAAGTCAGCGGGGGTTACTACAGCTGTGTACCGGGGCCTGCGCTTTGTCGGTGGGATTGCTTGCGAGGCGAGCGGGTCTATCCACGCTTTGCCGAGAGACTGGGCAGACATCTCCGAAATCATCGAAGCACTTTTGCAAAGAGGCTGTATCTTGACAAACCGACCAGACACATGAAGATTAAACCACTACATTCTCGGCTAAAAAAATATTAAAACGCATTTGGTGACACACCAACAAGTTTTCCAAAGCTCAGTTCTGTTAGCTTCCACATGCCGGTTGTTGTGTGCTAGAAACAATGGCCACCAGGCCAAAGCAATGGTTTTGACTCGATCAGCGTTAACCCCGCCCCCTGAGTTTGATGGGTGAGGCTGACAGATAAAATTATTTCATGGTGAGACCTGAAGGAGTCAACTGTGCCAAAATGAATTAATTAAATACACCATTAAATAATTATTTAAATGTGTCAATAATTAATTAATGAAATTTATATTTTAAAAAATCATTATTTCCAATTTTAATAAATTCATTATTGCCACATTTAATTAATTATTTAATGGTGTATTTAATTAATTCATTATGGCAGTCCTGGCGTTCCATACACTGTATCTCACTGCGTCATGTAAATGTTGCATGTGGGTAACTTTGACACCACTAGAGGTCGGAGTTCGACCACTTATGAACAAATGTGAAAAAGCCCATAGTTGCTGCATTAATTACGCTCTTTCAACAAAGTCAGTAAACAACTGGATGAAGAATAAAAATGCAAAGAGCTCAGATGAGAAGCTTCGTCTAACACGGCTTTTTCAGCAATCAGATTGAAAGTAACAACTGTTCCCACACTCAAAGATGATCATAAAGCATGAGTGAAATATCGCACAGAAACTGAAATCTGCTCTTTCTATGAGATACACGACAAAACATTACTCATACCAGAAGACATCAGTCATTTCTACCCTTGATTTTTTTAATGTAGGACATAAATAACTTTCTCCTGTTCTCCCTTTACAATACCAACTCGTGTTCTTTGTTTTTCACAGACCACTTCATTTAGTTTGATTTAACTTTGCTTTTTTTATATGAACCGCACCGGATGTGAAGATGCAAACTCATCTTCACAGAAGAAGAAAAAGCCCCATTTGAGCAAAGTGGCACACTGTGCTGCTTAAAAAAAAAAAACGTACCTCTGGGAAATGCACCGACACGTCTTGACGTAGACTCTCAGGGGAGTTTGCAACACCAAAACATTGCAATGTCAGCAGCTGACATACCTATCAAACAACAAGACACACCCTACAACAGCTGTAATGACCTTAGAAATCAGGCAAAGACAAAGATTGTGCATCAATAATGCACAGCTGTGAAGTACAGCAAACAAATACAGTGTCTAAAAATATGCAGCAGAAAGCTGCACTGCATTGAGGTTTATTAATAGCCCAAGCTGTACTTTGTGTTCCCCTTTTAACGAGTAAAACACACCAGTATTATTGCAACAGCAGTTTAATTGGACATCAATAAATAAACCTTAACACAAGTATAAATGCTTTTTTTGTGATGCTGCCACTTTAAGGTGTAGAAACAAACAAACAAACAAAAACAAATAAACAAACAAAACCAAGATGTTTCATTGACAGCCAAAACTACCCACGGAGCAGAAAATGACATAAACATAAACAAGTCAACAGTTCATTCGGCGTGAACGCTTTAAAGTGTAACTCGTGTAACTGCATCCCTACAGGATGTGAGCTGGAATAATCAGCATCAGCGAGATGTTCTTTCCTGCAGAGCAGATGTTAAATCTCAGAGATCCCAGTCCAGTTGTGTAGTAGACACATCGGAAGACACAATCCAACCGCGCTCTGCCTCCTCGTCCTCCTCCTGCTCCACTGAAAACATGCCAGCAGTCTTCGCTTAAAGAAACTTCTTCTCACACCGACTCGTCGTTTCTACTCGTCTTTGTTTCTCACAGGCCGACATCGAGCAGCATCACGAAACACCAACAAGCCGTTTAGTTTGGCAAAGTACTGTTTTCTGAGAAATACACACAGGAGATCAGCTGCTTTACCAAAGCAGCTGATATCGACATCATCTGTGATATTACAAGAACCATGACAGTGACTTCCCAGAAGAGCAACTTTTTACTCAAGGTGAAACTCCAAAATGACGTCAACAACTTCATTCCTGATGCGCATCACCACAACAGTATTTTGCAGGAAGCAGCTTCTTCGTCGCTCACACTCACTGTCGTTAACTAGCCAAAAATAACTCTGATAAATAATGCAGAATGTTATTATATGGTTCTCTATTATCCTTTTACCCTTTGTGTTTGTGTTGCCTCTTTTTTCTTCTCTATATGTAACATCGGCACCGAGTCAACACGTACGATCGTTATCTTCGTCTAACCTACGTCGGGGGTCGGCACATTGTGTATTCAAAGCAATCTAACCACCAAAACACTGCGGTCTGTAAGTCACAGCTGACATTTGTTTGTGTTTAGGTGCTGTGATGGGAAACGATGACGTCAGCGTGCTTCATGTACTGTCAGGGCGGTTAACAGCCCAACCTGAAAACAAACAATTCTCATTTCCCCTTCAACGGTCTGATCGCTGCTTGAGGTCATGAGCAACGATAGTTTTAAAGGGCACTCCAACAGCGATAAAGCTTTTATTATAAATCAAATGTTGCGGTGAATGCTATCAAACGTAAAAAACAAACAAACTCTTATTTCCTCAGAGTATTTCTGTTTTTAACTGACATGCAAATGCAACAAAACCACAGCGCGCCTTGTGAGTCCAGCTGTTATAAAACCCACACACTTACCGGCAGCTGATATGTCACGTGCAAAACAGAACAAACTGTGACATAGGTGGAGTTTTTACGTGTCTGCTCGCTCTAAAAACGTTAGAAACAAAGCGATGCGATTGTGAAACTGCGGGGATCATGTCTCACCTAAATTACTTGATTCTGTTTGAGGGCCAGATAAGATGATGGGTAATTTCACAGAATTTCCCTGAGATCTACCGAATCAGTTTCAGTGGTAACAGGTAGCTGACAGTCGCACACAGCTTGTGTGAACTGAGGCAGCCAGACGACAACAATCAAACCAACACATGTGGACTGATTTTCTTGTGTAAATATAAAGAGTAAAATAATGCCTTTATTAGTTGCACAATTTCACAATTACATAATCTTTGGAAACTGGTGGCAGCATTTGGAAATTTTCCAAATTAACGTTGGGAAACTGCATATTTGGACAGTCTTCATTATATGGAAAAGACTTGTGAAAAACACGTCTCTCTGTTCTGTTTCTGTTAAACATGTAACTTTGCCAGTTCAGTGTAAGCAACTCAATAATTCCAAGTAAAATATACCCACAAGTTTACTCTTCGGGTTTATATTTGACCCTGTCTACCGTGGTGTCGCTTTCTATCCAAAGCAACATCAGCAAACCAAAAACTGCCCGTAAACAGAGGCAAAGGACGCATGCAGACAAGTAACTGCAGCAACTGTTAAGGACGCTGTTAGGAGACAGCTGAGATGAACTTCTTCAAAACAGAAATGTACTAAGAATGAGCATGATACCATCAAGAAATCAACTTCACAGACCACAAAATGCGTCACATTTCCAGAGAAGTTACAGCGGAAAAAGTCTAAAATTGAAGCCCCCCCCCAGGTCTGACTGCCTGCCAGAACTTAACCTGATTCACTTTCTCAGCCATTCTGACAGGAAACTTTTCCCTCCCCCTTCTGTCTCGGCTCCTCCTTCGCTGCAGTGGGCGTGCTGAGGGAACACAGAGCATGCAGATGTTGATGTTCCACAACGAAAGCTGTGCCCACATCCGCTCTGAACCGAGTCTCCTGCAGTCTACAGCAGGCTGTTCACACTTAACAGTAACACAGCAGGCAGTACTCCTTATCGCCACTGGAGCTCGCAGACCAAGAACGGAGTTTAAACTTGGAGTCTGTAAATTTTAGTGTGAAACACACGCAGAAAATCGCATATTTAAATGAAATTAGAGAAACAGGTGTAACTTGACTCGTGACTCTGATTTATGGCTTTTCATACATTATAAGGAGCTTTTTCAACATTTCTCAGCGTGACTCCTTTCTCGTGTCCTGCAGAGTCAAATTTCCTCTCAAACATTGAAGGCAGGCTTTGAGTAAGCAGCTCCTGATACCTGCTCTTATAGCAACCTGACGCATTCATAGGCTGTGAAGCAGCCTAATAACAGGTCTGTCTCACTCAGGCGGCGGGCAAATGCTGAGTGATTTTTACAGAAGTGTGCTCCATCATTAGCCTGCTCGTTGAAATTACTCCGAGAAATCAAGGATTGTTCAATTTAAACGGCCGGGACCAAGCGCTCTCTCTCTGCCTCACACACATACATGTCGACAGGAAGAGGGGAAGCAAGAGTGACCCACTCTTCTTTAAGGAAATCTCTAAAATTGAATTCAAATCCCACCGACTGATGAAAAGTCTCGCTAATCATGCTTTTAGGTGATGCAACAGACACACTTTGCTCAAACTACACCGAAACGATCCAATGCAGACGTGCAGCAGCTACAAGCTGTTTCCTACTCAGGACTGGAATTCAGCATATAGTGGCGACGTCATTCGATACATTGAGGCAACCTCTGGCGACGCGTCCACACAAAAACGGTTACATTTGGTCTTTCTGGACTGTCTCCAAGCGCCCAGCGCGCGTTTCTCCTCCACTTGTCGCGTGAAATGACAGCTGTTTTTGCACCCACTCTACTATGAGTAACGACGGCACGCATACGCACGGTGCGCGAGACACAAACACAGAATGGAGATAAAAACGGCGAGCGTGTAACACACATAACCGCGTCTCACCTGTTTTGGGTCGTTTGAGTCTCTCGGCTGCAGCACCACCGCGCTCTTTCGTAGTAAATACGGCGGACGAGCTTTAAACCAGCGTGTAGAAGTTGTTTACAAAGTTTCACCGTGAACTCCGACACTCTGATTGGTCTGAGTAAAGTTTAGTCAACGCCCCAAACCTCGGTCACCGGGCCGAGTGTCAAACTTGTTTCCCGGACTCGCTGCATTCATGTAACACAGGCAAGGAGGCGAACGAGAGCACTACGCTGTAAACGTGAAGTTTAATATGAAACGTGGAGGCGATCGCAGCAGATTGCCCACTTATATTTGCTGTAATTTCAGTTCAGTTGTATTTACACAGCGTCAAATCACAACAACAGTCGCCACAATGTGCTTTATGCTGTAAGGTAGACTTACAATAATAGATACAGAGAAACACCCAACAATCATATGACCCCCTATGAGCAGCACTTTGGCGACAGCGGGAAAGAAAAACTCCCTTTTAACAGGAAGAAACCTCCAGCAGAACCAGACTCACAAATATGAACATACACACTTCAGTTCTTTAAGCCGTTGATATTGACGACCCTTGTGTGGTATTAAATGTATTTATTATGAATATTTATTTATTTATTTTAATTATGGTAGTTTTTATTTTAATGGAGAGAGACAGAATATCAAAAATCCAGAAAAAAAATTCATGACCGTTATACATTTATTTGCATGAGTGAAATACTGTAATACTGTGCTCAGAATCAGTATCTTCCATTCCAACCTTCATTTCAGCCACCATGGGCAACACCAAAGAGCTGTCAAAGGAGGTCAGACTTGCACAAGGCTGGAATGGGCTACAAAGCCATCGGAAAGAAGCTCGGTGACAAGGTGACAACAACTGGTGCCTTTACTACTTTGTTGCAAGAAATATAAATGAACCATCAGTCACTCTCAGTCTGGAGCTCCTTTCATTTCTTGCTGCATGAAGCGATGATGATCATGAGAATAGTGGTGGATTAGCCCAAAACTTCATGGAGGAGCTTGCTATTGATCTGCAGGCAGCTGGGACTGCAGTCACCAAAAACACCATTGATAACACACTGCGCTGTAATGGCAGCCCCAAGGCCCATCTGCTCTAAAAGGCACATGTACCGCCCGTCTTAAGTTTATAAATGAGCATGTAATCATTCAAAGCATGACTGGGACAAAGTGCTGTGGTCACTCGAAAACAAAATCAAGCTCTACCTGCCATGTTTGGAGGAAGAGGAAGGCTGTACATGGCCAAATGACACCAACTCCAGAGTATGGAGGTGGAAACAGGAAAAGGGTGCAGGATAGCTTCATGGCATTGAGGGGATCATGGACCAGGTCATGTACTGTAGACTCTTAGATAAGTTATTTACATTACAGCCTCACAAGTGATTTATTACATGTGTGATGCACCTAAAAACCCAAAATAAGTAGTTGCAGGGGGCAGCGTTTAGAAGCACTGCTTTAGTGTTACTGCCCTAAGAAAAGTAGACAAAAGTGGAAACGTTGCCCCGAGGCAATGAACCAAAAATGTTATTTTAGTAAATAAATGAAATTAATGATTTTACAAACAAATACACTTCAGATACATTTCACATGTTCATGCATATGCCTGTATATTTTTTAAAATATAGTTTTTCCACTTAAGCAGATTTAAAAATAAAGTTGGCCGTGACTCTGAACTTGATAAGGTGAAGAAAATGGATGTGTCCCATGCAGACGTGGTTCTGGAAAGGACTGTCCAACCCTTAGGTCAAAGGTCAAACATGCATTTTACTGAATAACGATGTGCCCTGTGTGTATTTAATTACACATGTTGTTGGTGCTGTTGCTCCGGTGAATAAGGCAAGTTGTTAAAGTGCTTTGATTGCTAAGGTAGAGTAGAAAAGAGAAAGAATCAGTCCATTCACAATTTACCAGCCATATATGGGCAAATAAAATATTTAAGGAACAGTGCAATAAGCAGACACGCTGTGTGTTCC